GATCCTGTCTTCACAGTTCTTCCACTGTTTACTAGCAGAGAAGAAAATAAAGTTCCTCCTGTTCATGGAGGATATTCAGACTGTTACTACTCTTCTGGTTTGGCTCAGAGCAGGACTAAAGTTCTGAGTAGCACTGATACCAGTGTTACTCAGAAGTTTAATGCCTAGGTGCCAGTAGCAAATACAAACAGGAGGTGCTGCTGTTGGGAAAGAGAAAACAATTAGGAATTACTGTCATGAGCTTGGATTATGTAACTGTTTATTGGATTTGCTGCTTTATATTTACTGCAAATGAGTTTAAATGTCTCTTAAAGTCGAAGTCACTTTTGGTTGGTGAAGATGTTTATATATTTTAGCTTTTCTCTTAGCTTACTGATTTGTGTTAATTTTGTCCTTTCTGTTCTGGAGATTCTACTGTTTTGTCCACCTAAATTTCATGGTATCTTCATACTCCAGTTCCTGTAATGTTTATGCAGAATAGAGCATCCAGCTTTCCTAGCTTTCCCTGAAGCCTTTTTTACCTCTTGGGTAAAAAGCCTGTCAGTCCAGTGCAAGTATTTGAAGGAATTGCCCTATGATTGCTCAAGTAAAAAAATTCTACAGTATTTATGAATCTGAAGACCAAAATTCATCTTCAACACTTTGATTTGATATAAGGAGGAAGAAAGTAGATTAATTTACAAATACTGGGTTGGGTTCATTTGAATGTTGTTCAATAAGTCTACTTTTTGTCTGTAGGCATCAGCATGCATTTGACTAGAAGTCAGGACAATGAAACTTAAGAATTACATTTGTGTAGTATTCAGAGGAAACAGTTTTTTATTGGCTGTGCTTAAATCCATCTGTGTTTTCTTATCCTTGTAATCTAAAGGAGACTTAAATATTTTGAGATGAAAGAATTTATGTAATAAAGCAGGACGCCTCTGAGGTGTTGCTTTTATAAACTGACTTTTTTATTATCGTGTTTTGTCTTACTGGGTTTTTTTTCTTCTTTTATCCTTCAAGGCCCAACTGCTACTATAAGACTCTTAACAATTAACTTTAAATTGATGAGGCCTGTCTTCTAGCTATCCTCTTTTCTGGAAATTCACTCAGGAATTATTTTAGTTGCTCCAAACATTGTAATTGCGTAAGTGCATGCCAGTACATAATTTATAAATGCCAGATAGTATCTGTTGACCTCGTTTATTTTTCACTTCGATCTCATTACTGATGATTCATGTATCTTCAATTTAGGTGATTTAGTACTTCAAAAATAACAGTAGTGAAATGTATTTCCTTTAGCATATATTTGAACACATCTGTGGGGAATATCAAGAAAGTGGTAACTCTACTTATTTTTAATTCATTCTTTTAGAGAAGAAGCATCGGTTGATTGATGAAACTGTTGACTACTTCCATAACTTGCAGGGTACACAAAGAGTTTAAGGAAAGAAGATAAATTTAAGATAAGGTTTTGCTGTATGTATAATTTGGGCATCTAAAAGGTGTGGAAACCCGATTAGTACTTGTTTAGGGCTCGAGTAATGCTTTGCATAATCCTCAGATTCGCTAGTGGCTCCCAAGGTCATCTGTGTGTGTGTTAACACAGCAGGACCAATTCTGCAACAATATCCTTTGGTTTTGTCATTAGAACTGCTGTGTGTGTAGCGGTGTTAATTTATTCCACCCTCATGAAATACTTTTCAGCTGGAGTTTGGGTATTCTCAGCTCTTTTTTGAAAGTTACAGGTGAAGTGGCTTGCTTTTATTGTGACTGGATTGGTTTTTGATGTGTTCTGCTCTGTTAACTTTCAGCAATTATAAGGCTGGTAGTGTAGTGCACCTCAGCGTGTCCCTTAGCCTGTGCACGCTGTGAAAGAAAGAAGCTTTGAAGGATTGCTTTCTTAGTCTCTTGTGGCTCAGCAGGAGTTCTTCTCTAAGCATGTTAGCTGTGTAGTCTGTGCTGTAAGCTCTTGGCTCTCTGAACAACTTGCTTCTCCACCTGCTGGGTGCTGTGGAGCAACGTGGGAAGCAAGTATTGTATTCCAGCCAGTTGTGCTTGCTTAGAGTGGTAAATGTGCAGCCGGCTGTAGGCAGGTCAAACAGAATAGGCAGGACAAAATGCTGGATAATGGGTACAACAAAGTGCTGGGCTCCTGGATAAGGCAGTAGTGAATTCTATGGTACTGGCTGAAAAATAACAAATTTCCACAGTACTGTAAGCATGGAATCCAAAGAGTTCTGAATAAATGTGTGTTCATGCTTCTCAAGATAACTATTTCAGGTTTCTTACAGTCTTTTCAAGGCTATCTGTGTCACGAGAAGCTTCAGCTCTTCAAAGTGATTTTGTGTGTGTGTGTGCTTAGAAGAGAACTCTGTGATAAAATTCATAGCTGGCCAGTAGCCCATATTACATTTGCATATACATTTGAAGAGAGAAGTGATACAAAGGTTTTTGTTCATGCAAATTAAATTATTAAAATTATTATCTTCTATTTCAGATTTTTAGATACTGTCATTTGTTATTCCACAGAAGTTTTTAACTGCAGTTTATTCTAATAGGGTATTCTTCATTACTGCACTTTATTCCCTGCCTCCTGGGAAAAGGAGAGTTGTCTAGAAACACATAGAGCTTGACAGCTGTAGGGTTTTCTTTGAGAGTCCTTGTGCTGGTCTGCCTTTCAGAATATGATGTTTGTCATTTATGAAAAATAAGTTTTATAAAAGGTCCCCTACTGTGAGTGTAGGTACAAAGTTTCAGCTTGCTTTTGTAGTTAGTGGAAACTTGTTCCCTTTTAAAATAAAAGGGGTCTGCAGCTTTACTGGAGTGGGCAGAGCTGAGCTGCATTGTGATTATACTTTTTTACTGTAGCATTTCTTAAATCACAGCGGGGTAGTTCACATATCTCGCTGTTCTTTAAATCTGTCTCATTTATCTTGAGAAAGTGAGTGATATGACAATTGTAACACTGTATACTAGGATTTATCAGATATGACAGAGAGAAAGCCGTCCTGTAAGCCTATGAGTTATTTAGTGAATGCTAAAAAGCCAGTAAAAGGGTGTCCACATACAAAGTAGTCGCATAGTGGAGTGGACTTGACTTCTGTTTTTGTTGTGGTGGTGGTGGTTGTTTTGCCCCTTTTCTGAGAAAAGAAGTACTGTTTTGAAAGGGGTGAAAAAAGAAAGGCATGGTTATTAAATACTCAAAATAGTAATTAAAAAAAAAAGAAAAAAAAACCCAACAAAACAAACACCAAAGCTTTTTTACACTAAACCTGACATTTTGTATTCCTTTGAAGCTGTAGGAGAGATACAGGAAACTTTTGGAGTTTATTAGTGCTTAAAGTTATATATATCATTGTGCTGATCTGTTGTACTGTTCTAGACTGCTATTAGAAGTGGAGCTTAACAGGTGAAAAACTAGCTGTAATACATTGAGGTTGAGATAGCATGATACAAACATGGGACTTCAAGTAGCTAATACATTACTTAAACACCAAGTCTGCTGGTATCTGACTTTCTGTTCTTGAGCACAGGTACTACATTCTCAGCAGTTAAGAATTCAGTTGAGTAATGTTGGAAAGTCTTTGAAGCTTAGCAATAATAGATGTGTTACAGGGGCTATTGTGCATCACTTTCATGCAAAGTGAATCTTTACTTAGACTTCAGCTACTTTTTGGATACTACTGTGATGATAAGACACAAGTGAGAAAAGCATTTGTTAACTCACACTTTATTTGCCTTCTAGCAGTCCTCGGATATTGAAGTTCTGATAGAATCTTTTTGCTGTTGAATACAATAATCATGAAATGGAAGGGAGGGGTTTTGTCACGTTAGTATGAATGTAATAGGTGCTTTGCAAAAATCTGAAATAGACCCTCATCATAACCCTAAAAAAAAGACTCTTTAAAGTCTGTTCAACTCTTGTTGCGTTTTACAAAAATTGCTTGCAGCTTCTTGGATTTGTAGTGATGTAACAAGCAAAGAGTTTAAGCCCTATTCTAGAGGAATATTTTTGGCTAATTGTGCTTCTCAGTTTTCCAGCATGTGTCGTGGTTTAAACCCAGTCAGCCATAAATCAGCCACGCAGTCTCTCTCTCACTCTCCCCCCTTTTCTTATCCCCGTTCCTGGAGGGATGGGAAGGAGAATCAAAAAAATGTAACTCCCACGGGTTGAGATAAGAACAGTTTAGTAACCAAGGTATAACACAAATCACTACTGCTACCACCAATAACAATAATGATAAAGGAAATAACAAGGGAAGAGAGTACAACACCACCCACTGACTGATAATACCCAGCCTGACCGAGCAGTCCAACCCCGCAGTGCCCTAGCCCTTCCAGGTAACTCTCAGTTATATCCTGGGCATGACGTGCTGTGGTATGGAATACCTCTTTGGCTAGTTTGGGTCAGGTGTCCTGTCTCTGCTTCCTCCCAGCTTTCCATCCTCCCTAGCAGAGCATGAGACTCAGAAAGTCCTTGGTCAGACTAAACATTTGATCAGTAACTAAAAACTTCGGTGTTATCAGCAGTGTTCCCAGGCCAAAAGTCAAAAACACAGTGCAGCACCAGGTACTAAGAAGGAGAAAAAAAATGACTGCTGCTGCTGAACCCAGGACAGCGTGTTATTCCTAGCACTTTGCAAATAACTAAGACGTTTATGCTTTGTGATAACTTCAGGCTTTTCTGCAAACTTTTCACAATTTCACTGGCAGTAAGTATATTTCATGTAGGTCAGATTAAGTTATGCCTACATGGTACCACAGGGGGACTCTGTAAAGTCCTGTACTAGCACATTCCAGGGAAATGTTACATAGGTATACCTGTGATATATTAAGTGTTTTAATATCAGATTTTGAGACATAATGATTCCCATTTTTGTGTTTAAGCCGTTGTCTCCCTTGATATCTAGATCTAAAAATGTAATCCAGTAATTCTTTCACACATGCAGCTGGGGAAGGAAGAGAAGTTGTTGTGGTGGCTTAGAAGAAAATTGATTTTGTGTTCTTTCTTACAGAAAATGCAGGAAGCCTCAGAAGACCATAATCATTGGAAGGCCTGTTGAATTCCATTTTTTGGTAATCTGGGACATCATCAGTCTGGCATGGCGCAGAGCAGTCAGCAACTCAACGTTCAGGTACTCCATGATCTCCGACAACGTTTCCCTGAGATACCCGAAGGGGTGGTGTCTCAGTGCATGCTTCAGGTATGGTAAAGGGTTTTAAGAGCCTATGTGTTTTATTTTTGAGGTATAAAAATTCATTTTAGTAGTGTACATGGAGCATAGATTTTCATTCTTCTACTTTTATTTTTAAACAGTGGAATACTGCACTACTTGAATTTGTGTCCTGTCTTCTATGTAAAAAGATTTTAGAATTCTTCACTTATGCTTGTGGGGGTTTTCCTGCTGTTTTTCCTGGTCTGTGTGACCTGTGACCCTATGCATATAGGGAATAAGGGAAGTGGCTAATAGGATGGTTATTGATGATGGCTACACAAATAACATACTGGGAGAGATTTTAGCAAATAATGACTCATTCTGCTGAGATGAGGAACTGCCCCTAGCTAGGAATCTAAAGGTTTTCTGTCTTCATAGTGTCTTTTTGCCATGGCTGTCCATCCAAAGGTTTATTTTCACTTCTCTGTTTCCAAATCAGGTGGCAGTTCTTTTTTCTTTTTTTTTCTTTTTTCCTTTTTTTTTCATTCTCTTCTTTTCCCTTTCCATTTTTTTCTTCCACCTCCATCTAAAATCATAAATTGGAAGTGATGGGAAGTGATAGTAAGCGATCATACATAATCATTTTCATAGTCTTGGTCATCTGGAGATACCTTCCATTAATGGGAAGATTTAGGAGAAGAATAGGGACATACAAGATCTTTTGGCTTTGTGTGTCTGTGGCTAATGTAGAATCTAATGTGATAAACTGCTGGAGATGAAAGTAGTGGCAGAGGAGTAGATTTACTTATAAGCGTGGCTGTAACGTTTGCATTGTGTGTCTTCTAAACCATACAAATACGAATTAATTGATTTCAGAGAACTGTGAAGCAGGGGAAGCCCTGCAGTGTAAAGCTTTACTTATCCTGATGTTCATCTCTACTGTTAAGTACATTATCCTTTTGATGAACTATGTTTGTCATAGACATCTTTAAACTGATAAAATTAAACTGCCCCTAATGCTGCAGAAGCATATATGTATCTATAATAGTGATATTATATATTATGTATATTATATATTACATGTATAGCTGGGTAATGTTGCAAATATCTGTCATTTTTTTTCCAAACCCACTTTATATTTGTTTTAAGATACATGAGCTGGTTTCCATTACATTTTGCAATACATGCTCTAGATGTAAACCAGTGTGTGTTTTGGACATATCAAAAATTGAGGGTGCTTTGAAATGGCAAATATATTCCATACTCTGAGAAAATCACATTTGGGCCTGTCCCTTCTACTTTCTCTCTACCTCCACCCTGATGAAATGACTTTAGGAAGCTGAGGAGTCTATGAAGTTCAGTTTAGAAATTAAGTGGCTTTTTATAGTGGTTAGGTTTTTTGAGATTGCTGTCTTGGAACTATGGTGCTGGTTATTATTACAGGGTCTGATTCCCACATATTCTGGTTTTATTTTTTACTGTGATATGTCTGGATATTTTCATTGACCATTGGAGTCGAGAAAGAAAGCTTCACATGGAAGGAAAGTAGTCAGGGAAAAGTATCTATAGGGTTCATCAAACATAATTGCTAGACACTTCTGTCATGTTCAGTAGTAAGTCTTTGTCTGAGATGCTTAATATGTATGTTTGCCTGATAGTGGAATCATATGAAATTTTGGGAAAGTAATCTTCACTTTAGCATTAAGACTGACTAGGTATCAGTAAAGGACTGATATGACTTTTCAGTTAGTGTGTAGGCTGTTGTGTTACAAGGTCGTGTGAGTATTAATATGTATACAAACTTTACATAGTGATAGTATTTGAAATAGAAGTGAAACCATTAGTGGCATATATTCCTTAAGATGGTAATCTTAGCACACTAAGGAAGGTGGGGGTGTATGCATCTGTATGTAAATATGTACACACTCGTTCTGGTAGGAAGTGCTTTATGTCATAAAACATACCGATCTTGGATCACCTAACAAAGTTAGGGTCCTGAGGGCCAGATGTAGTGGAACTTAGAGTGTGGTGTGGTTTTTTTGTTTTGTTCTTTTTTTAATTTAACTACTGTTTAAATTAAAAACTGAACCCCAGCTGATCAGCTGATACAGACTGTTGTATGAGAAACTGGGGAGAAAAAAAATACACAATCTGGATGGCTTTCTAGTGGTCCTACTCTTAAAGAAAAGCTATCATTTATGTCATTCTTTGAGCAAGACTAGATTAAGCTAGGGAAAGATTAAGGGAAAGGGAATTCTCCATTATACTTTTGATTTGCTTCATAATATGTCTGTATAGTTTCAGCTGCTGGCACCGAAGAAGACATGAAACAATTTCAGGGGTTATTTGGTTTCCTCACTGATGTATTGATAAACATTTTTATTTATTAATTTTGATTTTTTTTTTAACCTTGATTCTGAAAAGCAGCTGAAATTATGTCAGAATTATAAGGTGCTTTATGGAATTGCTGTACTTTTTGAAGCAATACTGATACTGACTTTATTTTTAAGACACTACATTCTGCTGTACCAAGCAAAACTGTGGTTTGTTGGTTGTTTTTTTTGTGTTTTTTTTTTCTATACTAAGAAATTCCTGGGCTTTTAAACTTTCATGTAAAGAGAAATATTCAGGTAAACAGTAAAAAGTGAGAGCAGTAAATGCTCAGGTAAACATTAAAATGTCATCCGCATTTTGGGTTCATCTTTACAGACTTTGCAATTTTGATCTAGTTCAATTTGATCTGTGTTGCTGCTATTAGAAGCATAGATACCTGTTCCTTGCAAAAGATGCTGAGACTTCTAACCATTGCTTTCTCCAAACATGGACTTGTTTTTCTTCATACTGTAGCTAGTGTAACCATAACATTTTGCTAGATGCCATGTGAGCTATGTACTACTTACATACTGTGACTTGGTAGGTATTACTTTTATTTCAAAATTTGTGTTTCTGAGATGTTATCTGTAGTTGTGTTCAAGTTGGGCTTGACTGCAGCTTCAGCTGAATGCTTGTTGAATGCTAAGCAGTGGCATTTTCTTTTGCCATTTGACATTAATATGTGTCCATTCTTACTCCTAGAACAACAACAACCTAGATGCCTGTTGTCGAGCCCTCGCACAGGAGAGCAACAAATACTTATATATGGAGTACCATAGCCCTGATGATACCAGAATAAACAGAAATAGCCTTTTGCACATTAATCTGGGTATTCATCCTCATACCAGCTATCATGCAGGGGATGGAACTCAACTTAATGGTGGTCGTACACTGGTACATAGTTCAAGTGATGGACATATTGATCCACAACGCACAGCAGGTAAACAGCTGATATGCTTAGTCCAAGAACCACATTCTGCTCCTGCTGTTGTGGCAGCTTCTCCTAGTTACAATCCATTTTTCATGAATGACCAGAATAGAAATGCAGCTACTCCTCCTCCACAGCCACCTCCACAGCCATCTTCCATACAACCAGGAATGAACACGTCTGCTATGCAAGGCCCTCCTCCCACGTATATGCACATACCTCGGTACAGTACAAATCCCATTACTGTTACAGTATCACAAAACCTCCCCTCTGGACAGAGTGTACCCAGAGCTCTACAAATTCTTCCACAGATTCCAAGCAATCTCTATGGGACTCCTGGTTCTATTTATATAAGACAAACGTCTCAGAGTTCTTCAGGACGACAGACTCCTCAGAATACACAGTGGCATTCATCACCACAGGGCCCAGTTCCACATTATTCTCCCCGTCCTCTACCTGTGTATCCCCATCAACAGAACTACCAACCTTCTCAGTATTCTCCTAAACAACCCCAGATCCCTCAGTCAGCTTTTCGATCACCACCGGCATCTCAGTGTCCCTCTCCCTTTGGCTCTCCTCAACACCAAGTTCAACCTCCTCAGTTGAGTCATCAGAGTTCACATGTTTTCATGCCTCCTAGTCCTTCAACTGTCCCACCCCATCCATATCAACAAGCATCCCAGACTTTTCAAAAACAAGGTGGTCACTCTGTATCATATCTTCCTACTTTTGCTGGACCGAGTTTATCCAAAGGTTCCATGAATAAAATAGAAATTACAGTTGAACCACCACAAAGACCTGGGACTGCAATGAACAGAAGTCCTTCACCAATAAGTAATCAACCATCTCAACGAAACCAGCATCCGCTGTATACAGCCACTACTCCTCCTTCAAGCTCTCCATCAAGAGGTATGTCAGGTCAACCCAAACCTCCATTTAGTGTTAATCCAGTATATATTACCTACACTCAACCAACTGGACCTACAGGTGCACCAACACAGTCTCCTCGGGTAATGGTATCTCAGCCAAACCCAACCATTTTTAAAATCACAGTAGGTCGAGCACCGACTGAGAATCTTTTAAATTTAGTGGACCAAGAAGAGCGTTCTGCAGCACCAGAACCTATTCAGCCTATTTCTGTAATCCCAGGATCTGGAGGAGAAAAAGGAAGCCATAAGTATCAGAGAAGTTCTAGTTCTGGATCAGACGACTATGCTTACACTCAAGGTAAATGTTTCACCCTGCAAATTATATTAATGTAAAATGGATTTTCAGCTTGATTTTGCTACTTTATAAGTGAGAATTTTTGAATCTGTTCAGAGGAAAATAGGAATTGCACCAAAAATCTGTTACTGAGTTTGGTTTGATTTTTTTTTTTTTTTTTTTTTTTTTAGAAAATTTGCCAAGTTTCAGTCTAATACATAAAGAATTTCTGAGTTTCTTAAAATTGTTATGCTTTTGATATTGGGTGTCTCCTTAAAAAAAGACATTACTGCTAACAGGAGTAACTAGTTTGCTCAAATACTGTTTGTAAATTCTGAGCTGTCAATTTATTTTATTTGCTCTGTGTTTGGATGCTTTATAAAACCTGAAGCACCAACTTCTGCAGGGAATTTGAATTCAATTTATTTGCCTTAGATTAAAGAGTACTAAGTGAAAGTGGAGCGTGAGGTAGGATTGCAGCTACAGTTACATCTGGTGTCAATAAAAATATTTTTGTTTTCAAAGGTATTAAAATAATTATTTTTAAGAACTTAATCAAAAGTTCACTCTTTCCACATAAAATTTTCAAACAGGAGAAAGTGATTGGCAGACAGATTTTAGGACATGTGTTCTGGGTTAGAATGTGGTTAGATTTGATGCCATGTATAAATGAAGAATTAAGTAATTTAGTAAAAAAAAAAAAATTCTGACCTTTAGCTGAAAACTCTTTTTCTCAGAATAATCTGCTTTATAGATTTGAACATTTAAAATTGAGCAAAGGAATCAGTCTGCAAGCAAACCAATCATTTGGGTTAGTGACAGAATGATAATCAGTAACAATTACTGAAAGAGTGTGCTTTGTTTTGTGATTTGTGTTTGGAAAAGAGAGTCTATTCCTTCATTGTTCCTTCTAGCTTTCCTTTCCCTTTAGAGAGCTGATACAGTGATTATAATGCTGCCCTGTAGTTATTGATTTCTTATTTTGTTTTGTGTCTTTTGAGCTGTTCTAACTCATCAAAAAGGAACTGTTCTGTACCTGTTAGACCCAATTAGAGTGTTATTTAGAGAGAATGAATGCTAGCAGGTGTGTAACTCATAGGCCTTATGTTTTGTTTGATGATGTTCCTATTACAGCTTCATTAAAGATTGTAGTTTACATGAGAAAACTGTAAGTAGCTTCACATAACTGAAAAAAACATCATGAAATGTAGAAATCTGGTTTTACCTTTGCATCTTTGATGGGATTTGCGTATTTGGAAAATAAAACCAATAAGACTAGTTAGTATGTACTTTCTGGGGAGCATCTGCTTTTGTGGCAATATCTACCACAGCTGGGACTTTATAGAGCCTTTGGTATTGTTGCACTCTGAACTCTTGATGGAAATAAATTGTAGAAGAATAAATGTTACATTCTTTATTACAACAAAGGACTTATAAAGAGGATTATATTTAACAGCTTAATATAGGGAACAAGGTTGTTTAATTTCCTTTTGAACATGAACCATTGTGAAATTTATTGCCAAAATCCATTCTGATGTCAGCACTTCCACTGTTTCTTTGTAGTGTGAGTCATGTTTGATGACTTGGTCTAGAGTATAATGCAAAGCTATACAATATAGTCATACTGGGTGTTAAGTTGGAAGAGTCACACAAAACCAAGGTTTGATAGCAATAGTGCAAAATCATACAGCCTGGCATCTGTACTTTTGTGATCTCTTAGACTACTTTGACTTACACTACTTCAGCAAGTAGGGAACAATTTTGTTCAGTAATAGTGGTATCTATATTATGAAAACTTGTGATGTTATCCTTTGATAGGATTTTCAGTGCACAGAATACTGACAAACCCCACTCATTTTTATGCTGCTGACTGTTTGGGTTTAGGGGGGTTTGGGTGGGGTTTTGTTTGTTTTTTTTTTTTGTTGTTCTGTTTGATTTGTTTTGGTTGTTTGGAGGTGGTTTTCTGCTCCACAGTAAATTGTGTCATATTGTTGCTAATTTTTCTAACTTTTTTTTTTTTAATTAAAATATCCATGAGGTATGATGTGGGTTTTCTCTCCCTGTGTCGGATAGGGGTGAAGAAAAGAGCAGGTACGGGCCAGTGCTTGTCTGAATACCCACAGCAAATTTCTTTTGCTTTTCTCTGTCCTGCTAGACTTTAATCAGGTAAAACCAGCCAGATCAGAAAGTGCAAAGTATCACACTAATTGTCTTGCCCAGTTTTTGCATCATGATGAAATACTGAGAAATGCTCTTCCTGCAGAAACTTGAGTATTATTTTCTAGCTAGTCAGAGTTTGTTCTTTGGCTTCTCTGGGAGCTCAACATCAGTTTGTGACTGAGAGTCATGAATTTCAGTACCAAACCAAAAATGTCAGAGAATGATTACCAGCAGAGAGAGGTTAAAGGACAGTGAATCAGCTCTAATGTAGAACTGAAGACCCTGAAACACCTGAGCTGCCTCTGCTTTTCATTTTTTGGATTCTCTGTCTGTTTTATTGAAGTTGTATAGATTTGCCTTTGGGTACTGGGAAACATAGAGTATTGAGAATTACAGTACTCTCTGAAAAATCTAAGACTACTTTAAAGTTGTTATAGCATAAACTGTAATAGCAGTGAAAAACTCTGTTCAGGACTGACGTTTGGCTTATGTCTCAAGGCTAGTGTGTCAGCTGCTGTTGAGCAGCATATACGAAGTGTGTTACCTTCTGATCTTACCTCTGGTATTTATTTTTTTTTCTTTGCCAGTACAGTATTAATATAACTAGGTTGCTGTTGCATCCTGAGAAGCTGTCTCCTTGTACAGGTGCCTTTGTATTTTTGAGATGAGAAAGACCAAATGCAAAAAAAGAAGCTTTGACCAAAATGGTAATATCAACTTCAAGTTACTGTCTAAAGCGTGTTTTTATTCTGGAAGAACTTTGTTCTAAATTGTAGTTCATTTGGCATGAAAGCATCTTCACACTGATACTTGGCTGCATGTTTATGGTCACTTTTTTTTTTTCCGAGAAGGGTCACTCATGAATATTAGGCGTATGTTGACAATTCAGTTTTCTGGGGTTTTGTGTGTTAGTAACTCTTTCTTTTCCATGTACAACATTAGCCTTGCTGTTACATCAGCGAGCAAGGATGGAGAGATTAGCAAAGGAACTGAAGCTTGAGAAAGAAGAGCTAGAACGCCTGAAAGCTGAAGTCAATGGTATGGAGCATGATCTAATGCAGAGGCGGCTTCGAAGAGTTAGCTGTACAACTGCAATTCCAACAGTAAGCAATTTGTTAGTATTTTAATTCAAGATACAAATTTATTTTTTATATTTTCATGAACTGCAGTATTACAAAAAAAGAAAAAAAACATTTTGGGGTATAAAGTCTTCGATCATTGAAGGTGATTTTTTGTAACTTCTTGGCTTGTTGTAACCCAGTTCTTGTAATTTAGAAGCAGATATATGTCCAGATTTCTCAGTGTTCACAACAATTTCTGAAACTTGCATATATGTGCTTTTCTGGGCCACAGAGCTGAATAGATAGTTACTTTCCTAGCAACCTATACAAGTATGTGTTCAAGTCTGTTCAAAAAGCCCATGCCATATACAGCTTGGTGTTCATGAAGCAAGGTTTCACTTTTTTGAAGTTGTTTTGTTGTATTGAAACATTTTGTTGTTTGAGGAGCTGCATCTCGTATGCAATCTATTTCCCATTTGGTATATGCAGATTATGCCAAGTGACTTTGTGGCCAAGTGGCAGCGTTGGCTCAAGTAGTTGGCACCCCTCTCTCACCTTTTCCGTGTTGATATTTTCTATCTGTATGGCTTCACACCTGCAAGTGACTTTAGCCCAAACACCTGTATGGCTCTGATAAGAGAATTCATTTGACTGAAAAATACCTTCCAGTTTGAGCAGTTGTTAGCCAAATCAGTTCAGACTTACTATCTGTATTGACGTGAACAGTGCACACAGTTGTAGGCTGGAAGGCATAGTAGGGGCTTTTAGCTGCTATGTATGTCTCCCCCGTTTCAGGGCAGCTTTCTGCAGATATGTTCCAGGGAGGAGTACAGAGGTATTGTCTTGAGTGTGCAGGGAGGAGGTTAGGAAAGCCAAAGCCCAACTGGAGTTGAATCTAGTACAGGATGTCAAAGACAAATTGAAGGCTAGTGAAAATGTGGGCCCATTGCTTAACAATACAGGAAGCCTGGTTACATAGGACATGGAAGAGGCTGAGATTGAATGCCTTCTTTACTTAAGTCTTTACAGGCTTTCAAGAATCCTTACTCCAAGAGAACCCCAGGAAAAGTCCAGAGCAAGGAAGGTATACCTTTGGTGGAAGAGGATTAGGTCAGGGAATACTTAAGCAAAGCAGATACACCCTGAGTTCATGGTCCTGGATGGGATGCTGAGGGATCTGGCATATGTCATTGCAAGGCCACTCTATATAATATTTGATTGATAATGGTGTTTGGGAGAAATGCCCAAAGACTAGAGGAGAGAAAATGTCACTTCTGTCTTCAAGAATGAATACCCGTGGAACTATAGGCTGGTTGACCTCACCTTGATCCCTGGGAAAGTGATGGAGCAGCTAATCCTAGAGACTCTTTCCAGGCACATTAAAAGCAATCAGTAGTCAGCATGGATTCACAGAGGGAAAGTCAAGTTTCAGAGTTGAATAAACTTCTAGGATGAAAGTACTTTCCTGGTAGATATGGGGAGTGCAGTGGTTGTTGTTTACCTAGACTTCCTGTAAGGCTTTCAACATCATCTTATTTAAGATCTTCATAGAAAAGCTGATGAAGTGGGGGCTGGATGAACAGCAACGTGGATTGAAAATGGGCTGAATAGCCCGGCCAAGAGTGTGGTAATCAGTGGCACAAAGTCTGGTTGGAGGACAGTGCTAGCAGTATACTGCAGGGGTCAGTGCAGGGTCTGACCCTGGTTCACATCTTCCTTAATTATCTGGGTGATGGGGCAGGGTGTACCCTCAGCAAGTCTGCTGATGACACAAAACTGGGAGTGTTGTGCTGCCATTCAGAGCAACCTCAACAAACTGAAGAAATGGAGTGGCAGGAACCTAACGCCATTCAGCAAGGGGAAGTAATAAGTCCTGACTTGGTGACAACCCTATGCACCAGTATAAATTGGAGGGTGGCCAGCTGGAAAACATTTTTTCAGATAAGGCCCTGGTGAGACCAAGCTGAAAATGGGCCAGCAATGTGGCAAAGGCTAACGATACCCTGGGCTGCGTTAGGAGTGTTGCCAGCAGCAGGGGGGAAGTTACACTTCCCTTTTATTCAGCACTGTTGAGGCCACACTTGGAGTATGCTGTCCAAGAGTGGGCTCCCCAGTGCAAGAGAGAGGTCATACTGGAGAGTCTAGTGAAGTGCTGCAAAAATGATTTACCATCTCTCCTGTGAGGGCTTGCTGAGAGAGCTAGGACTGTTCAGCCTGGGGAAGAGAAGACTTAAGGGGTTCTTGGCAATGTACAGAAATACCTGAAGGGACGGTCCAAAGAGAGTAGAGACAGGCTTTTTCCACTGGTGCCCGCTGGAAATGGACACACACTGCAACACAGGTTGCAGGTGTGTTAGTAACTCTTTCTTTTCCATGTACAACATTAGCCTTGCTGTTACATCAGCGAGCAAGGATGGAGAGATTAGCAAAGGAACTGAAGCTTGAGAAAGAAGAGCTAGGGACGGTCCAAAGAGAGTTTCTGCAGAAACTGGTGGGCAGAAACTGAAATACAGGATGGCCCCTCTGAACATAAGGAACCATTTCTTTACTATGTGGTTGACTGAGTACTGCCACAGGTTCGCCCCGGAGGTGTGGAGTCTTCATCTCTGGAGATACTCAAGAGCCCTTTGTCATCTGGGTGGAGGTGTTGGGCCAGGTGACCTCCAGAGGTCCCTTCCAACCTTGAACTCTCTGTGATCTTGTTGACTCTGTGATGCTAGAATATATCCTAGGATAAGATGGTTATTCCTACATATGTGTTAATAATCACTGCTGCTAGCACTAAGAGCGCTTTGTATTGCAGTAACTTTGGGTTTCTTAATGGTATGCAAATATATGGATTTAAGTAACTGATTATTCTATTAAGAATAATTACTGCCTTGCAGCATTGAAGTATTTAAATATACTGAGTTAGAAGGTTTGGCGTGTTGGAGCTCTTTGGGGTGATGCATATAAATAAACCTCTGACCTTACTCGGTTATAATCAAATAATAATTAATGTGAACTGCAGCTCATATGCTGTTTCCTAATCATCTCAATTTAAGCTCACATAGCAAGTCATCTGTTTATGCAGAATTTTGTAAGGTGCATGGTTTTATAAACTTGAGCCTAGCTGTATCTTCTTACTCATTAATTTTAATATTAAGTAACTTGTTAACTTTCCTCCTCAAATGCCAGCAGAAGAATATTTTTTGAGAGAATAAATTGGGTTGGGGGAATGGGACAGAGTGGGCTCTTGGCTTTCTTTTCAGTGTCTTATCCATATTCAGTTTCTAATAAGGATGTTACAGATGTAGCAAAGTTATTTCTATGTCAGATAAGATACTAACTTTCCCACAACTACTATTTTGGGTTGCTTCTTTCTAGCCTGAGGAAATGACCAGATTGAGAAGCCTCAACAGACAGCTCCAAATAAATGTTGACTGCACACTGAAAGAAGTTGATCTCCTTCAATCTAGAGGTATACAATTGATACTTAAAAAAAAAAAAAATCCACCATAATTTGTGGGTTTAATAATAATGACTGGGAGTGTTGATCTCCTTGAGGGTATGAAGGCTCTACAGAGGGATCTGTATCAATGGGCTAAGGCCAGTTGTATAAGGTTCAGCAATGCTCAGTCCTGGGTCCTGCACCTGGATCACAATAACCCCATGCAACAGGCTTGGGGAAGAGGTAGTAGTGAGGTAGGTACCGATCTCTTCTCCCAGGACAAAAGGAAACTTTCACAGTCCATATACCTCAGGCTTAGAAATAGGCTGCCCAGGGAAGTGTTTGAGTCACCATGCCTGGAGGTATTTAAAAGATGTGTGTGGGATTTAACAGACATTGTTTAGTGGTGGGCTTGGCAATGCTAGGTTAAGGGTTGGACTTGATCATCTTGAAAGTCTTTCCCAACCTAAACTATTCTGTGATTCTAATATAGTATGTGCTCAAATTTGGATACTTGGACTCTTTAAAGTTCACTTTTGTTTATCAATATCAACTTCTTTTTCAGTTGCAACCTGATAAACTTGACTTTCCAGTATTTCTGTTGGCCAGGTTAAATTACGTTACCAAGAAAGTGGTGACTTAAAGTGACTTTGTCAAGAGCAAATGGAAAAAAAAAAAAACAACCAAACTGAACACAAACCAACCAAAAAACGACCATTAAGTAAACGTTCTTTGCTTAAATTTTTACCTGTTTGCTGATGAAAGCTCTGACCATATAATGCAAAACAGAGGTACAGGTTGCACCCAAGAAGCTGGCAAGCAGAAATCTACTTTGGTCTTTTAACGTCCTTTTTCTATGACAGAAACTTTGACATAAATACAGTCAAATAGATTGGAATATGCATACCAGGAATGCTTCCTGCAGAAAAATTTACATTTTCACATATTTTTAAAGTAATACAGAATGTTGAGCTGGAGTTGATTCTTCAATATGGGATTGTCCTGTGGAAAAAAAAAACTAGAATCAACACAAAACTGAAAATATGTGACAAAAGATTACTTGGGAAAAAGCTAATGTATAGCGGCATAATAAAAAGACGTTTAAAATCTGAATCTCTACATGTTCATATTGCTGGCATATGTATGTAAATAACCTTCTCACTTGTCTTCTCTGACAGGGAACTTTGATCCAAAAGCTACGTGTAACTTCTATGATAACATAGAGCCTGGTCCTGTTGTGCCACCAAAGCCATATAAAAAGGGTAGGTCAACAAACAAGCATCAAGTTACCTAATGTGCAGGGAGAGCTTTTCTCCTTTTTTAAAAAAATCCCTGTGATGACAGAAAGCAATTCTAATGTTTATAATTTTTCTCTATATATGAACCAAACCAGAATGATTTTGTGTAAGTACACGAACCCTGGCTACAGCTTGTTTTCCTCAGGCAGCTTTTTGCAATGAATGCTCTGTTGATGTTGTTTCTAAATACTGTTATTCACTACTAGAAAGGGAGTGGAAAGTATATAAACTTTTACATGTTAACTTGAGCTTCCTAATTAAGTTTTTTTTAAATACTTCAAGTTGGAAAGTTCTGTGTCAGGTTTGTTTTGCTGTCCTCTAATATGTGTTTAGTTTTTATAGTTCAGTTGGTTTATTTTATGCAAGTCACAGCAGCTTTTAAAATTTGCATTGTATTTTAACTTACCTGGTCACACTTTCAATATTTTTGTTCAAAGTACGGATTTCACAGTAGCCCTGAATTTTTAGCACAGCAAGAGCATGAGATGTCTTTAAGAACCAAGACGGAACACATTTCCTCACGTGGCTCTAAGGAGATAACAGTGTCCCACTTGTACAAATTCATTAGTGGTTTCTAAAGTTTTCTGGGCTACTTGTATAGTATCTAGGACTCATATGTATAGTGGGACACTTAAGTTTTATGTATGCACAGGAGTTAAGTGTTTAGTCTCACTTCTTGTACAGTGGAGATTCAGTTAGTATATCCCAAAGTGACTCAACACCTAGTCACTGTTCAGTAGCTTTCTGAACTCCACTATATTTAGTGGTAATTTTTGTGCAGAATCATACCCTTTGTCGGGGGGGGGGTTGGACCTTTTGGTTTGATTTTGTTGTTTTGATTTTTACTTTTCTTGCTGGAATCTGTGAAAAGAATGGTTTCAAATGTTAGTGGAAGTTTTTAAACACTTTCTGTCTTTTTGCTGAAATAGCCAGTCTGGAATCTTGTGCTCTGATAAAGAGAAAACAGTGGTCTCATCACATATAACATTTTCAGATAAAAGATTTATAATATTTGTTTGGTTATGTAGTTAAGGCCTTGCTACTTCATGATACGTAAAGAGTTTCTGTTTATTGCATTAGCCTATTTGATTTATTACAAATAACATGCAAAATAACATGCAAAACTTACATGAAATAAATGATTTTATTTGGCAGTTGGAAAGATAATGTATTGTACAGATTTGTACAATTTTTATGACTAGCTTTCTGGTTGGCTGTGAGCTTACTAGAGGTAATTTTAGGGTTAGTGTACTGTCTTCTGAGTTTGGCTTTTAACATGGAGTCATCAAAATTGTTTGGTTTGTTTTTTTTCTCCCCTTAAAATTGCAGTCCCCTAATACTCAGTTGTTGAAGCTGTGGGCAGGCAGACATATCTGAGCAGACAATGGTTTGCTCTGTGCTGCTCTCTGGCCAGTCAGCATGATGCAGTCTAGTGTCCCGCTACTTGCTTGCTTAGAAGGAATTTGTGGAGGCCAAGCACTGTTAATGTAACTATACCACTTCTGGACTGGAAGAAGGTTTACATCTAAGCAAGGAGGTTACTTTTGTTTTCTTTAAGTATGCCTCTCAAGGCAAATGTAAATACTGTTTGCGTTAATGTTGCCATCAGCCACCTACTAGACTTCTTAGCAGATGACAGCAGTGTGTGCACTTTGAATTAAAAATTGCAGTTCTTTTTTTTCAACATGAGTTTTCTTTTAATTAGGCTGTTCTACAGATGTTTGTTTAGCAGATGCGTATCTTAACTTTACCCTCTGGGTATGTGTGCAAATGTTGTTTTAAACATTAACATTATATAAAATGTTGTTTCCACATCCTAGGAGTATTTGTCACTTTTAGTTGATTACCTGTGGTCTTGAAGTGGTGGTAGGAGAAATCAGGTAACCAAGTCTGTGGGTTAATACCTATGTATGATTTGCATATGGGTTGACTTTATGAGTGAAAACACTTAAGTGCTGCTTCACATACATACATCCCTGCTGCAGAGCCATGAGGAATTAAAACAATCATCTTGTTTTGGAACAGGCCTTTCATTTTATTTTTATGTTGTAGTTTCATCAGCCAGGATGAAAGCTAGATAAAGATGCAGAAAATAGATCATCTCTCAAACTGTTTGAAGGAACTAAGTTAGAAATAGTCTTTTACTTTAGGTAAAGTAGGGTTATTGGAATTTAGAATTTGGTAAGAGACTGCTGTATGTAAAGCTGTGAAGTCATTCCTTAACAGGATGGTGTTGCAGTGCCAGTAACAAACTTTTCAGTACATTTTAAGCTATTTAAACCTTTGGCAGTTATCAGTGGCCTAACAGTAGTGACTGCTCTTTTTGTTTTTATTGTAGTATGTTGACTACTTTCTAGAAGTGAAATACTTCAGTATTTCACAAACTGAAACAGAAATGCTTTCGTGAAAAAGACCTGTAATGTTACCTAAGTGGAAAGGTTTCAACCTTCACTTTAAGACAGAATGTTTAATGAGGTGACAAACCATGGTAGTGTGATCTTGCCTATCATCCTTCTCTTCTGGAAAAAGAAAAAAAAAAAAATGCATGTTTTCCTTTGCCTTTTTTTAGAGCATCAAAGCAGCTCCAAACAGACTCCACGGACTCACCCAAGAGATGAAGATTTTGAAGGGGCTCCATGGAATTGTGATAGCTGCACCTTTCTAAATCACCCAGCACTAAATCGCTGTGAGCAGTGTGAAATGCCGAGATACACCTGAAAATCAGGAAGGGGCTGCATTGTGTTGAAAACAGGCTCTCAAGCCAACAGCTGTAGGAGAAGGAAACACGGGGAACCTTTCACTCCATCTGCCCGGCCTTTGCTAGTCAACAGTCTTCATACTGCAAGGGGTGGGAGTAATGTGGTAGGATGTTTCTGCTGGTGCTACACTGAAAATGAACTAATTAAAGGTGAAATTCTTTCTTATCCCATTGCAGTGAGCAAAGCAGAAAATGAAACCTGAAAATGTAAAAGGATTAATTTTGGGAAGAATGTATACAGGAAAGCAAATAACTACTGGTGTTTAGTCCTGTGGTTATAGTTACTGCTTAGTGGCTCAAGAAAAAAAAAAACTTTTTTTTTTTTTTTTAATAAAAAATTATAGGATGCTTAGTAATGGTGTGAAATACTACACTTAACCAGAAACTGAAGAGCCAGAGCTGACTTAACCTGGCCACAGCTAGCTGGAAAACAAAGGCTCCCTGTGCTTCTAGATTGTAAGCTACTGAAAAAAGGAGACAGGTAAATGCAATGATAAATTTTACAATGTATAAAAAAACAAGGAGAAGGTATTTGTAATGCTGCTTTTTTTCAGGGTAACTTATGTCTACAAGAAAAATTGCTGTTTGAAATAGTAACCTAAGGTGACTAAATGAGATACCGTATGAGTGTTAAAGAGTTTAATCAGAGGTAATTTTTTACAATCCCTTTTGCTTGTACAGTGCTCACCTGGCTGTGTCAACACTGGTAATAAACTAAGAATGAATTCTACCATATTACAGACAAAACTACTGCTGCATGCTTTCATTAGGCCGTTGTATTTCAAAGCTAAAAGTATTCTTTTATATACAACAATCTTCTAAGCCTGTGCTATGTAGCAGCACAGCTACATATGCCAAACACAGACTACTCCAAATTCAGTTTGGAAGACTTGAGCTCAGCCATGGTTGCGTATGAGAAGAATTTTACCCAGCTCTTTAGGCCTTCTCAGCTTCCAATTCGTGAAGAATTCTTGATGTTTACAGCACAGAAGGTACTTTGTGCCCCAGTTCAAAGTTAGCTGAAAAATAATTAATCAGTTAGCTCTTCAGTAAAGGTTTATTTGCACATTGTTAATAAACCAGCCTGTATAAAATAGCAAATGCCAGATCTTGAAAAATTACACACCGCATTCTTTTTATTTTGTTCAGGAAATACTTGCCGTAGGTTGAAGAACACAAGACTTGCAACTGAAAATCACACTGGTACTTTCATGCATACGATATACTGTATTATAAAAGTGATGTTCAATTTGTTTGAATGCTTCAGGTTGCTGTAATAAAGCACTCAATACTTGTGAAATCGAACTTGGGTTTGGGCAGCTGAATGATTATGTTACACACTGTGTGGCTGAGTAGAATGTTCTTGTGTACTGGTGAGAAGCTGGTACAGTGCATTTGAGTTTTTTGCATCTGATTCTTTGTCAAGAGATGCAACCAAGCACATCAGCTGAATCATGGTAATTGACTTTGCAACTGTGAGGCAAAATGTGCTAGCTAAAATTTAGCAGAAGACTACTTCATTTTAAATAGTTTTTAGCTTATGGCAACCACATCCATATGGTCAGTTATCACAATTCTCTTGATGTGTGATAAGATGTTAAGCTGTGGTAGAACAATCATGTGTCTGAATCCTTTTTTAAAATAAAGCAGCTGTTACAAGGGGTGGGTGGAAGAAAACTCATCTTGACTTCACTGCTCAATCTGGTGTCTTCTCTCCCTGCAATTTGTAAAGGTAACAGTAAAAACCAAATTGTGATCTTAGATGAGGAACCAGTATTTTTATCTAGCATTTTTTCAATATGTTCTTGCCCTAATTAAATCTTCAGCATAGTCTTAAATAAGCTAAGAGAACTCCAGCAATCAGTGTGCACCACTGATGAGCAAAACAAAGTCAAAGGCATCAGAGCTAGTTTTTCTTCCTTCCTAATGATTTATATTACTATGTGGGGAGCTCATCACATGTGGAAAGGAATAAAAAATTCAGTGTCAGTTGAAGTTAGAAAGCAAATATTAATTTTGGTCATGTAGGTGGACAGTTTGACAAAACTGAGATAAATAGAAAGATGAGCAGAAACATTACACCTAGGATGAGCAGTGCCATTGCTGTTATCAGCTGTATAATGAATTACTCAAAACAATACCAGTAACTTCATGACTTTTCTATTGTGATGCCTTTGCCTTTGTATTATTTCAATTTTCTGTTCATTTGTACTAATGCTGAAGTTCTAGAAGCATTTGTTTTTGCTGGAAATACAGAATGATAACAACTGAAATGAGAGTTAGCAAATGAGAATAGGTGTGTCATGCATCAATACAGTTGTGCCGTTTTCAGACAGAATAAATGCTACTTTTGAAGAGGGGCAGGGGAGGAATATATGTAGTCCAATAATTCCCTGAACTGTAATAACCATTAATGGAGGCTTGGAGTATCTTAGTTGTAGTTTCACCAGAGGAAGAGAAGGAAGGCTGCCATGACAGCAAAATGCTTTTTGGAAGACTGAGTGAGTGCAGTTAAATTTCAAATGAATTCCTTCATACCAATAATACTCCAGTTTTTCAATTACTCTAATTTTTTGCCTGTACAAAAAAAACCAAACCAATGAATGCTTCTGTTCTGTTCTTTTCTTGTAAATGCCCATCCTTAAATATTAATAGTCAAGACTTTACATGGTGCTTGAATATTCCTAGTTTGTTGGAATGTAAATTGTATTTTGAATATCGGAAGATCCATTTTCCTTCTGAAAGAAGGTGGCGCCGTACACACCCCAACTGAATTGTAGATTATACCAAAAAGATTGGTTTATGTAATATTTATTGAATGCACATAATGTCAGCTGGCATATGAAATGCACTGTATTGTATAAAACGTGTGTGTGTGTGTATGTATGTGTGTGTGTGTGTGTGTGAATGGTGGGATGCTGATGCCATTGTGTTGAGTTAATGCACTACTTGTGTTTTGTTTTTTTTTTCTTAATGACTGAGCTTTCCCTCAACCATGCTACTAGATTGATAGAGTTTGTAACTGACTTGGACATTCAGATATTCAAAATTACTTCACTTTTCATGGAAATTTTATAAAGCTTATTTTGTATTTACTGTGCTATTAAGAATAATTCCCTTTTAATTATAGAATACTACTGTAGTTCTTTAAAAGTTTATTTAGAGTGGGGCTTGTGGAAAATGATTCAGAATATAGTAAACCAAAAGAAATCCTGAACTTTGGATCTGTTTTTAATTTTATGTAATTATTAGTCTTTTTATGGGTGAAGAGGAGGAAAGGGGTGGGAAGTCAAGCGAAAGGAAGTCCTTTGTAAAATGTAGTCTTAGATCAGATTGAATTGTGTATCTGTGTGTCTGTGGTATGTGTGTGTTTCCCTTGAAAAATGGGAGGTGTGGTGAAAAGGTGTAATAATTCTTAAAAGAGCTGGTCTCAGTACTTAATTATGATATGCTACTAAATCACATTTAAAGAAAATCCAACAACTTTCCATTCAGTTACTTTATCCCAGTTATACATCTCTCATTTCAATTTCTAAGTACTTTTACATTTAATGTTGATTGTAAAACCCCTTGAAACTGAAATAAAAATACTTGAGTTGAAGTGGGGACAAAACCAAACCAATAAAGAATGTTTTAAAAAAGAATGTGAGAATATTAAATATGTTGAAAACCAGCTTGTCATCAAGATGATAGTTTTTGTTTTAAAATTCAGTGGTGTACCCTAGAATGTGAAAATGACTATCCTGATGAGAAGTGGACAGTTGGACATAAACAATTCATCAGCTTGTTTGGTACCACAGAATTTACATGCTCACTACTACAGTGACTCTAAATCCCGTAAGGAAAGACAACGTGTACAGGTATCACATCTCATAGTAGTACTGTTTCTATGTGCTGCTGCATTTGTTTCGTTTCAAAATGTCAATATTATACAAACCTAGACATGACTGAATTCTGCCAGACTTCTTCAGTTTGGGGCTTTCACTGCTGTTTATGTCCATAAATATTAATGCAAATATTTTTCTTGGGTTTGAATAATCAGAAATCAGTGGAGTTAATGCAATATTATAATCCTGGATTTTCACCTTTGAAACTGATTTTAAAAGAAACCTATGTTCTTGAAACTTATTTATTTATGGTGACACCAGTGTATCTGATCCATATTTCCTGCTGTGTGAAACCCTGTTAATTTTTTCATTAAAAAAGAAGACACAGTCTTGTTTAATCCTGTATATATGGTGTCTACATTCTAGATTTGTGTATGCTGTGAATGAACTTATTACTAAGAGATGAAATTGTATAAAAGCATTCAGAGGCTATGCATGCATGGTACCTCCAGAAAGTGCATACTCCGAGTTGCAGATTCCTGCAAAAATAAATTAATAAAACTAAGCAAACATCACATCCTGCATTTGTTCTTCTATATAGTAGGAAACATTTAAGAAGTACAGCCTTTTTGCTTTCATAGCCCAATTATTTCTGGTCTTTCACTAGAGCCCTTAGCAATAGCAAATTTGTTTCAGGGCTCTTGGGGTTTTCTTTTGGTGATTGATATAATTGTCATTAGGCAATTGCTGAACAGAGAACTGGGGTGCAGATCTTGTTCCTGTGAAGGTAGACAGCTTTTATAAGTGGGAGTCCCATTTATATGATTGTATTCTGTGAAGCCCCTGGTGTAGAAACAGGATATAGGATGTTCAGAGTGGGAAAGTGGGCTCATCACTTTTCTCTTACTTTGGAATGGAAAGCTCTCATTAAATGAAGAGCTTTCCCTGCTCCAGCAGATTGTCACTTTTGGTTGGGAGCCTTCACTGCAGGCATTCCTGCTCATGCTTGTAGTATCTGGATTGCAAAAATTCCATCTTCTGCTGTAACCTCTTGCAGAAAGGCACTGCTCTAGGAGAGGATAGAGAATTTGAAACGCATAAATCAGTTTGCAGGCGATTTCATTAGTGTGCCTTCTCAATTATCTTGATTGCATCAGCTCATCATAATCTAAAACTTGGAAGCTGTGCCTCAGCTGTGTTTTGTTCACATGCAGTTTCAGTCATTAAGCACATTCTGGTCTAACAAAACCACTGCAACTTTGTGTTTGGGCTTTTCTCAGCAAACGTATGTAAGGATTTAGTTTTGCATTTCTTTTGCGAAATTGAATTTATAAAAAAAATATAGCTTTGCGTTTAAATCAAGCATTTCATTAACTTTAGAAATTATTGCAGTTGAAACTTAGTGTTTTAACGAAAGTTTCAAAGCTTTAAACAAAAGCTAGAAAATGTTAAGGTACCTGTAAACTATATGCTGATGGAGAACACACAAAGGCAAAAAACACTAGGTCTAACAACTGAGTGTCCTCTGTTTTGTTGTTTCCTTGATCTCATGAGGAGTATCTGCCTGGAATAACTGCATAAGCCTAGTTGATTTATTCGTATGAACTGCTTGATTTTGACAGTACTGCACCTTGTCTTAAACCTGTGGTGCCTAGAGGTTTGTCTTATGATCTGCTGAGTACTCCAGCAATGAAGTGCTGCTGCTTCTGATCAGTCACAATGATCTGTAGTGCTGGGTAAGCACTGTGTATTCTTTAACTGCACCCTTTGTGACTGTAAATATGCATTTAGGAAGGAAGTGACTGAGATAACTGATTTCACCTAACAGCTGGATGGAAATGTTTGTATACAAAATGTGTTATGTGATGTTCAGTGGAAACCTTGTAAAGTTGTTACAGAAGGGGCTGTATTAGTTGTTGGGTAGACAGTCTGCAATTGTGACATGTTCTAGTTTGACGTAAAAATCAGGCCAGATGCATAGAAGCATCTTGGAGGAGTGCCACTATTTTACAAAGTGTTTTCTCTCTAGGAACAGTGATGTTTTGATTTAAAGAAAAAAAATAATCATAAAACCTTCACTCTGCAGATTTTACTTTTCTAGTTAGGTAAGACTTAAACCCTTGAATGCAAGTATTTGCTGATTTTACAGGTTCCATTTTGAATATTCTTACAAATTAAGTGTCCTTTACTCCAAAGCTATAGTGATCTTGCTGAAATTAGTGAGGGCTCCCTTGCTAGTTTTGCTTTTTAAAAACAAAAAGGTAGATGCAGTTCTGTTACTACTTTGGAAACAAGAAGCCTCTGAATGAAGGACATGAAACACAGGTGCTACTTGATTTTAGACTAAAAACTTCATCTTTTTGGAAGTGTTAGGAAAAAAAAATTAGGCATGTGGAGGTGTTGTTTTTTTGTTTTTTTTTTTAGAAAAATACAGAATATTTCAGGAAAAAAAAACTCTAGGTGTGAGAGGTTATCATAGGTTATCATCTGGTTCCAGACTGGTACAGCTTGTCAGTATGTTGTGTAACTGGTACTGAATTCTGGCATTGGTTACAAAGTCCAGGAGTAGTAGCAGTGTGCCCATAACTGCTGGTGTACAGCTGCTTGGCTGAAACAGGATGCATGGCATCTTTGGGAAGCATTTAATAGTCACATACTATGGCCCTGTGTCTTGTGCTTGGACATGCAGCAAGTAGGTGACACTGGGCTTCCCTACCCTAAATCAAAGTCACAAGTCACAGCTCAATGAATAGTTAGCACAAGTGCTTAGGGGTTCTCTGCTGGTTTGTTCTCATGCATCCTGAACCAGCCTTCCATATCCCTGGCATTGGGGATTATTCCTCACTTGGAATTTTTCTTCTTTAAATTTGAGGCTATTCAGTTAACTCCACTGACTTGGCAAAGCTGGAGTTGCTTTTGGCAGAGTAAACTGGACTTTTTGCAGATTATCCCATGCACTGGAGAGTGCCTAGTGTGACTCTGCCAAGGGTCTTCATCCGCGTGTGGTACTCTGTGGACCTAGCCATCAAAGAAGAGGAGAAAAATAGTCAAATACGCTTTCCAGACAGATAGAAGCAGGGTCTGAGAAACCTTTGGAGGGAACACCTTATATCTTTATGATGATTTGTAAATTCTTTCTGCTGATTAGACTTCTGTACATGCTTTGCTTTCTTCATGCTGAACAGCTGTGGTGGTGAAAAGCTTTGGTCATCTCATCACTGCAGATACTGAAGCCTGATGGGTTGGCTTAGCTGCTGTTCCAGGTAGCTGATTTTAACTTGATTGTTTTTTCCCTCACATTTGTCTTAAATGATTGTTCATAAGCCATTCTTTTTTCTTTTTTTTTTTTCACTGATCATTATATATGATCATGGATCTGTCACTCATCATTATCTTTCAAACTGTGAAATTTTCAAAGCTCCAGTGAGTAGGTTATGAGCTGTGTGTATGTTCACACTCTTCTTCACAGCACAGATACCTCAGGTCAGTGTTGTACCACACAGAAAGAGCTTGATAAATACTTTATATATCTATAAAGCAAATCTTAAAAAACACATAGATTTTGAAACTTACCTCAGGCTTTACTACTACTTTTTAATGAGTCTGAGAAGCAGGCAGTCTGACTTGATCCTGTAGCCCTTTCAAGAAGTTCAAGCCAGTGCTGCTTGAA